AAGCTCAGAGGGAGGACGTGCACGCTGACCAGCCTCACCGCTGCTCTCCTCCAACCACCACGCTGTTCCAGCGATAAGTTGACCGCTACACACTGCAGTAGATGACGACTTCTCACCTTGACGATTACCCTACTCATCCACCACGGTTTTTATGCCTATATTCAATTTATTTATGTGAGTGTTCCTACACTTAACCTTCAATAAAGAGCCATATTGCACTTAGAGGCGCTTCTCTTCTTCTCTCATCTACAGAGTCTGTTACATCCTATTTTGAAGCTTTGCCATCAGTGCTACATGGACCACCATCACTAGACTACCATTCACTCTCAGCAGTTATTGCGCTGATACACTTCTATCATACCTCCTGACTTTTTTATATGGGGTGTATGGGATGTACAGACAAGCAGATATACTGACAGGAATCTTGAATGAACTGTGGAGCGCCATGGTTGTTCATTGAACACTACAAGCCCTTGGCCACTAAGACTGTTGGGAATTGCAGTTCATTCATTCATTCCGAGAATCCAGCAGAATCTGATCCCATGTTTTATAAGATATAATGTATAATGTGTTTTGGGGTTTTTTTTACCTCTCAGCTCCGGAGTCAGCGAGTGTCCGAGTTCATCCAGCAGAATCTGATCCACCAGACGATCACCTATACAGAGGAATAGAAGATGACGGGTCTGAGTCATGTATGATTGAAGCTGACATTTCACAAACTACACATTAGATTTATGTCCAAACAAAAGAAAATTCATTAAAGCTGAACTCGGGGATAAGGAAATATTGTGTGAATATATTCATCCTGTGTATTGTTCCTTGAATCTTGGTATGCTTTGTGTTCTTCCAGATCTGTGCAGTAATCAGTGTGAGACTTTAGTCTCTGTGCAGGAGTTTTCTGTAATAAAGACCGCTCACTGCTGCTCCCTCTCCTCTGAGCCAGCCATACACGGGTTGAACATCGAAAGAATTTTCTTTGAAAAAAATTTTCTAAGAGTTTTAATTCTAATTTTGCACAATTAGTGGGCCACATCATTGAGGCACCATTTTTGTGCCACCATTTGAGTTCTCGGGCATGTTGAAAATTTTTTGAAAAACAAACGAATTTCTAATCAATGATAGGAGAATCGTGTGAGAAATGTAATCGAACAAAAAAATTAAGCCAGCCATACATGGTTCGATTTCCGAAAAAATGTTCTTTCGAAAATCTTTTCTGAGAATTTGCATTCGAATTTCGCACCATTTGTGGGGCCACAGAAACAGACGATTTTCATGCGACCATTTGAGTAGCCGAATCAAATTTGAGCGATTGGGCATGTTGGAAATGTTTTTGAAAAATGAACAAATTTCTCATTAATGATGGGAGAATCGTGCGAGAAATATAATCAAAAAAGAAATGAGCATGAGCTGTGACCTGAAAAGAAAAGAAAACTCTAGGCCACAAAAATTCTTTTTTGTAGCAACAATGAGGTGAAATTGAAGGCCTGGTTGGTCGAATTTCGAAATCAATAGTGGCACCATTGGATTACAAAATGCATGAAATTTCGGATTTTCTAAAGAAATGTGTTCAGAATTTGACCCGTGGATGGCCTGCATAGCACCAATTTTCACAGTGAAATATTATAGTAGTGTTGTGTTACACTATTTAATTTTATTATTATTTCTCTGTGACCATTACTTGTTTATTATTGCTCTGTGTCTTTAACCATTAGCCACCCGGCCAATGGCCGTTTGGTGGCTTCAAATGTGTTGCTGTATTCCGGGTGCACACCATTTGGCGTGCTCCCACACATGCGCAGTTTTGCGCTAATGCAGAGTGGCGCAGCAGCGCGATCTGTCACCGGCCATGCACCTCAGACACGGCCGATGACAGATCCGAGTACCGGCTCCCATTGCTGGTACCATGTGACCTGCTGTGACCAATCACAAGCAGGTCACATGACAGTTGTATAAAATGGATGGCTTCATTCATGCCATCCATTGTATACTAGTGTCTAGCTGTGAATGGTCACAGCTAATCACATGCACATGTCATGTGATTAGCTGTGACCAAATCACAGCTCAGCACAAAAAGAAAAAAAAAAGCTGAATGAATCGATTTCATTCGTGTAAATGATTGCTTATAGCAAAGTAATTCTTTGCTATAAGCAAATTGTGTAAAAAAAAAAAAAAATAAATAAATACTGATCACTTCCCCAAAGTAGTACAATGTTACTATGGTAACATTGTACTACTTTGGTCATAGTAAAATATGAAAAAAACATCTTAAAAAAAATGTAATAAAAAATTAAAAATAATTAAAAAAAATATATATATATATATATATTTTTTTTTCATACTGTCACCAGTCAGTGTCCTTGTTCACCGCCATGCCAGTTATATGATGACGCTGTACTGCACTGGTGACAGTATGTAAAAAAAAAAAAATAGTGAAAATCATTTTTTAAATTTTTTTCATTTTCCGAAAAATTATGACAAAAAAAATACAACTTCAAAAAACTCGCCATGCCTCTTATGAAGTACGTCGGACTGTCTACTCTGCAAAAAGGGGTCATTTGGGGATATCTGTACTATTCTGACATTCTTGGACCTCAAGAAATTAGATTGGCTGTCAGTACTTCAGGAGTGATCAATTTTCAGATATATACCATAGTTTGTGAACTCTATAACTTTCCTACAAACTAAATAATACATCCTAATTTGGGTTATTTTCACCAAAGACATGTAGCAGAATACATCTGGGCCTAAATTTATGAAGAACAATTATTTATTTTTAAACTTTTATAACAGAAACAAAGAAAAATGTGTTTTTTTTTTCAAAATTTTTGGTCTTTTTTTGTTAATTTAGCAAAAAATAAAAACCCCAGCGGTGATTAAATACCACCAAAAGAAAGCTCTAGTTGTGTGAAGAAAATTATAAAATTTTAGTTTGGGTACAGTGTTCTATGACCGCGCAATTGTCATTCAAAGTGTGAGAGCGCTGAAACCTGAAAACTGGCCTGGGCAGGAAGGTGTAAAATTGCCCGGTATTGAAATGGTTAAGCTACCTCCTCCTCCTGTCTAAGCTGAGCTCTTTCTCTCACCATACTTGTGTATACTCCTCCCCCCTGCCTCTCTCTGATAATCATTCCACTTTATCCTGTCTTTCTGAATGTATCTTCCATGAGGCTTACAACGTTAACATTTTTCTACCTATGATCATTCTCCATTAAACGGAACATTCGAATGGGTTCCCTCATCTGACTTCCTCAACATGTGAGTTTATTCATTAAGTTAAACTGTCTGACCCGATGCAAGAGATAGATTCAACACCACGTGGTATAACTGTATACATCGCTGGAGATAAAGTTTTATCGACCTGTAGCCGAGTCAGGTCAAGAAGCGAGGAGACCGGACAAGCTTTTCAGAAGATAGAGGTTTAGGAGTAATGTGGTCACATGGTTTAGATTCCACAAAAAATATATTGTTAGAAAGTCTGTCTATCATGGCCGTGGATGGGGGGGCTACCACCAGTCCTCCTGTACTGGGCCCAAGCCAGCTGGGGGGCCCAAGCAGCTGGGTGAATTGGATGTGGGTAGGGAGGGTGATCGGCATGGCAGGGGGGCAATTACTGGAACCAATCCCCTGTATGGCTCCCAGGACCGGGACAAGGGGTGGGCAAGAGGGGGACGGCCCTGCACAGTAGTTTTCTGTAGGGATGGGGGCTCCTTCCATCAGTTATAAGCCTGACAGGAGTAGTGGCAGTGATTTTAACAAGTGTGTGACAGCTGGGTATAGGATCCTCTAAGCTTACACATCATAAACCGGGACGGGGGGCACATTTTGGCCTGCCCTCTTCTTCTATCCCTTCTGCTGGCTTTCAGCTGCTGCACAGAGAGCCATACAGGGGATTGGTTCTCGTAATTGCCTCCTGCTGCACTCAATGATCATCTTCCCTGTGCACCATACATTTCCCCCTGCTGGCCAGGCCCCCCTGTGTGGCCCCACCCCCATAGTGCTGCCGGCTTCCCTCCTCTTCTTCTCACCGGCAGCTGCAAGCACACAATAGGATCCTTCAGGATCAGGGTGGATTTGATTTAAATCATTAGTGAAAAGGCTAGTGCATAAAATATTGTGTAATAATAATCGAGCCTTTTCACTAGTGACAGCGAGGTTTTCTGTATGGAAATGGGAAGGAGAGAAACTCTGTCAGAGAGGAAAAGAGAGGAGAACAATGATAGTGTAGTTTGCCAACAATGGAGGTACACTTGGCTTAATTGATGTCGATCATTATTTTGGGGTAATTGATGTCGATCATTTTTTTTGGGGTAATTGGTGTCGATCATTATTTTGGGGTAATTGGTGTCAATCATTATTTTGGGGTAATTGATGTCGATCATTATTTTGGGGTAATTGGTGTCAGTTATTATTTTGGGATAATTGGTGTCAATCGTTATTTTATCACAATGTTGACTGAAAACACAAAGTCCTGTTACCTCTCTCTGTGATCTCATCCAGGACCGCCAATAAATTCGGATGAGGATGATCTTTCTTTAACATATAGAGACATTCCCAGAGTCCAATCACAGCTTCTCTTCCCCGATCCTGAATGTCTTGTAACAAGGTGTGAGAGAAGGAAGAGCGATCTTTTTCCATTGACAGGTATTTCTGCAAAAAGACATCTTATGACTGTTCCATTACCACATTTAGAAATGTAATTTCAATATATTGTGTTTTATTATTTAGGTAAAACATAAAAAATAATTCTGGTTGCTCTGACCGCTCTGTTCAGAAAAGTAAATCCTGTCATAGTGAAGTTATACTGCCTGAACTCTGCCTGACTTTTGTGTGTGCTTTTTCAGAAAGGCTCCTTCTAACACCAGCTGATGTAATAGGATCAGGGCTTTTTGTCAGCGAGAACACGGTTCAGGTACCTCCAGCACTTATAGTGTTACTAAACCCTGGACCCTGCATTCACTATATCCGCCCTTCCTGGACCCCGCATTCACTATATCCGTTCTCCCGGACCCCGCATTCACTATATCTGTTCTCCCCAGACCCCACATTCACTATATCCGCTCTCCTCGGATCCCTGCATTCACTATATCCAGTCTCCCTGGACCCCGCATTCACTATATTTGGTCTCCCTGGACCCCGCATTCACTATATCTGGTCTCCCCCGGACCCCCCATTCACTATATCCGCTCTCCCCGGACCCGCATTCACTATATCCGCTCTCCCGGATCCTGCATTCACTATATCCGGTCTCCTCAGACCCCGCATTCACTATATCAGCTCTCCCCGGACCCCACATTCACTATATCAGCTCTCCCCGGACCCCACATTCACTATATCCGCTCTCCCCGGATCCTGCATTCACTATATCCGGTCTTCCTGGACCCCACATTCACTATATCTGTTCTCCACGGACCCTGCATTAACTATATCCGCTCTCCCTGGACCTGCATTCATTATATCCGCTCTCCCTGGACCCTGCATTCACTATATCTGCTCTCCCTGGACCCTGCATTCACTATATCCGCTCTCCCTGGACCCTGCATTCACTATATCTGGTCCCCCCGGACCCCGCACTCACTATATCTGGTCTCCCACAGTACACACAACATTTATTTTAATTATTTTAGTAAAT